TGATTTGTAAATGAATTGAATATGCTGTTCACCATCCTAAACCCTACACACAGGGGAGAGCAGTCTATAAATCAAATAAATAAATAAATAAATCACTTGCTCAAAAAGTGTGTAATTTTCAAGTTATTATGGAACAACCCAATAGTTGTTCCATACCATTCCTATTTCCAAGGGAATACATTAAATTCCTAGCCTTGGGATTTTTCAATACACTATTCAAAGTTCTTGGCAGCTTCAATGGACAGAGTTAAGCAGTTTTCCTCCTTAAATTTAAGCAGTGCAAGGGGACTACGTGCTGAGCATTCATCCAGTAAAATTAATTTCCACAGGAAATTTGCTTGAACATAACATTTAAACTTTTTAATGAATCAAATATTTCACGAATTTGGGGGACTGATGTGTCTTGCCATAGATCTAAGAGAATTAATGCTGGTTGTCTTGATAGGTCATATTGTGTGATATGACATATTGCGTACTATTTCAGTTCAAATATCTGTTGCGATTGTGACAAAAAAATAAAATGACATTTTAAAAAGTTGTTTACTAAGTATAAGTTAAAATGAACAGGCTAAATCAGATCAAACTCTATTTAGGGCATGAAATAATTTTCTGATTCCAGTTCTCCCTGAAAATCCACACAAATGCCTGCAATGAATCCTTATTTATTTATTAAAATATTTATATCACGCCTTTCCATGTGGTTCAAGGCTGCCTACAACATTAGTTAAAGGCATTTCCAGAATAAAACAGCAAACCAGATCTCTCCCACCCTCAAAAGATGTCTACCATTCAAACGCCCTTAAAACCCCTGGTAAACAATCAGGCCTCACGACACCTCCCGGATGGGGCTTCCCTTACCTTTTCAGGAAGCCCTTTCAATAGAGCAGGTGCCTCAATAAAAAAGGTCTGGGTTCTGGTTGAAGCCACATGGGCCACTCTAGGTGGTGGTATAGCTGAAAGATGGCTGCCTGACAACCATAGTTGGCACTCAGGGACATATGGAAGCAGACGGTCCTTCAAATATGTGAATCCCAGATCAAGAAGGCTTTAAAGCTCATAATGTACACCTTGAATTGACCTTGGAAACAGAATGGTAGGCAACATAGCTGTTTCAAAATGGGTAACATACATTCCCAGAGACTGGCCCCTGACAACAGTTGGGCTGCTGCATTCTGGACTAATTGTTGTTTCCAAGTCGTCTTCAATGGCAGCCCCAAATAGAGCTTGTTGTAGTAATATGAGATTACAGAAGCATGGATCAGTGTGGCCAGGTTGGCTGAGTCTTGGTATGGGTAGAGTTGCCAAACCAGATGCAGCTGACAGAAGGCACTCCCGGACACATTGCCAACCTCCTTCTCAAAGAGCAAGGCAGGATCCATGAGTATTGCTAGGCTCTTAACCTGCTCTAAAACAGCCAACTTCATCTGGGACAAGTGGATTCAACCCCTCTAGAATATTAGCCTTCCCAAGTAGCATTACCTCTGTATTGTCTGTATTTAGCTTCAGCTTGTTCTGCCTTACCCATCTGACAACAGCTTCAAAGTACAGGTTCTGAACCAAAATAGACACATCTGGAGGTTTGGGTAATGAAATACAGAGCTGAGTGTCATCTGCATATTGATTATGCCCAACCCAAAAACTCTGGACAATCTCATTTGGCAGCCTCATATATACTTAAAGAGCATGGATGAAATAATAGAACCCTGTGGCACTCTGCAAGACAAATCCCACCCAGTTGATTCTGCACCTCTAGCAGATACTCTTGTGTGTCCAGTCAGACAAAAAAGAGTGAAACCACAGAAGGGCAATGGTCTTAACACCATATTCAAACTGATGAATAAGGATAGTCAACTGTGTCAAAAACTGTATCAATAGGGAACACTGTCCCTGGTTCAACTTTAAGCGGAGCTCATCCACCAGTGCAACTGAAGCCATTTTGGTACCAAATCCAGGCCTGAAACCAGACTGAAATGGGTCAAGGGCAAATGTGTCATCCAGGAGGACCTGGAACTGCTCCACCACTACATACTTTATCACTTTCCTTAGGAAAGGTAAATTGCAGACTGGCCTATAATTGGCCACCTTATCCCTAGCCAATGAAGAGATATAATAACTGCCTCTTACTGAGGTCTAGGGAGAGCCCCCACAATCAGGGAGGAATTGATGAGTTTCCCTAATGGCTCCAATACCTTTACCCAACAAGACTGTAAAACCCAGGATGGTCATGGGTCCAGAGCACATGTGGTGGTCGTCACACTCCCAAGGACCTTGCCAACATCCATAGGTGGGATCAATCTGAAACTATCCATAACAAAAGCACAAGTAGGTGCTTCTGACACCTCAGGTACCAAATCTGCTCTCAGCCTGGACTCCAAGTTGGAATAGATGAAAAAGATTTTGTCAGCAAAGAGCCTTGCAAAAATATCACAGCTAGGAGCCAAATTTTCATCGCTGGCAGGGTCAGACTTAAGTGTTTTCAAGTCAGTTCCTTGGGTTGGAGTGGATAGCTTCTCCTCCACTGATCAAAATCTCTCCTTATATATAATTGAATAGTGGGTGCCAAAGTTCTAAAATGCACTCCTTTAGTGTATGGACGCTTGAACTGTCAGTCAGAAGACGCTGGCTGGGTTGACTGGCTGCTTTGTGCAGTCCCGCCCAGTGTTTCAAGGTCTTTTGCATATGGAAGCTGATTGGACTTCACTGCATTCCACACCTCAAACTCACCCCCCTCCCCGCAAGGCAGTTGGAATGTCAGTTGCATATGGAACCTTCAAGGTCTTTTGCATATGGAAGCTGATTGGACTTCACTCCATTCCACACCTCATACTCCCCCCCCCCGCAAGGCAGTTGGAATGTCTGGTGGTGTGTAGGTCCCAGGATCATGTTTTAAAAGCTGCCTGGGGAGATGGGGACCTCAGACAGGTTACAGTGCCATAGACTCCACCCTCCAACCCAGCTATTTGCTCCTGGGGAACTATTGTTGCCAATCTTGGCCCAGCACCCATCAAACCATTCTCTTCAACCCCCTGTTGTGCAGCACACTTTCCCCTAGGGTTGCCAAACTCCAGGTGGGACCTGGAACCTCCCACTGCTACAATTGATTTCCAGATGACAGAGATCAGTTTCCCCTGAATGCCTGTTGGTAGGCAACTAAGCTTGGTCCTGTCACCTACTTTGGCCTTTGGGAGAAAACACATTGGGGCCAGTCCTGATAGGGTTGCCAACTCTAGATGGGAAATTCCTGGAGATTTGAGGGATGGAGCCTGAAGAGGGTGAGGTTTGAGGAGGGGTGGGACCTCAGACAGGTACACTGCCATAGACTCCACCCTCCAAACCAGTCAGTCCCACATAGGGAACCATTGTTGCCAATCTCCAGGTGAGGGCTGGAGAGCACTCAGAATTACAACTGCTCTGCAGAAGGGAGGGCAGAAGTCAGCTGAAGTCAAAGGGGCAGATAATGGTAGGTTGATGGTTAGCTGGGAAGGATATGGGGTTGCCAACTACATGCTGACAAATTCCTGGGGATTTGAGGGGTGGAGCCTGGAGAGGGTGGGGTTTGCAGAGGGGTGGGACCTCAGACAGGTAGAATGCCATAGACTACACCCTCCAAACCAGCCACTTTGTCCTGGGTAACAATTGCTGCCAATCTCCAGGTGAGGGCTACAGATCACTCACAATTACAACTGCTCTTCAGGTAGCAGAGATCAGTTCCTCTGGAGAAAACAGTGGACTCTGTCATTATACCCTGCTGAGGTCACCACAGCAAATTGACACTGTTTGCCCAAAGCCAGAGCACTCCCCCAGAGCCTCTTTCTAGATTCCGTTGTATTGCTTTCACAACGAGCTTTACTGCTAGTAATTTAATATTTCCCAATGTCCACAGAACAGTAAAACAATGTGTATTACTTTAAAGCCAAACTAGAAGGGATAAAGACTGTCCCATTCACAAATAAACCAGAGAGGAAAGTCTTAAATTAACAATGAAAGTAACATGCAGGACAGAGGTGCTCAACCCTCTCTTTGATCATGCCTTACTATCTCCCCCATAGGAATTTGTTCCAGAACCTTCCTACCTACAACACTGCATATGAGCCAGAAGTGGAGAAAAGTGTCTATACCAATGGACTAAGTGGATCTAAAACGTAGAGTAGGGTGGGGGATTAGTTCAGCAACATCTCCTGTGTACTAAGCAGTTACAGAGTGGAAAGTGACCACAGGTCAGTGATAAATATAATAGGCACCATCAGTTAAAATAGTCTTAGCCATTTTGAGATGATCTTTGCCTGAGCCCAGTGCCACTCACAACTGACTGTACTGGGCCAATGTTCTAATTTAATAGAAGGCAGCACTTAATCTAGAGATTGTCTTTAAATTTGCTACCCATGAAGTGGAAAGGCAAAGAAATACTTCAACACACTGCACACCATTTAAATACAGGAAGAGTTCTTTTAAGCTCACTGAGCCCCTAATGAAGATCTTGATTAGCAGACAGTGGTCTTTGAACAAAAATACAAGAACAAAAACACAAGAATAGATATGCTAGATCAAAGCAACAATCCATGTAGTCCAGGATCCTTTCTCACATAGTGGCCAACCACAGGACTACAAGCAGGGCATGAAGGCCAAAGCCTCTTCCTTTTGTTGCCTCCTCCATCACAGATGTTAACAGGGTTAATGGCTAAGTGGTTGGCCTATACATCACGAATTTCTCTACCCCTATGGCAAGCCAACTAAATTAGTGGCTGACAGTGTGTCCTTTGGCAAAGAAATCCACTGACTGAGTGAAGAAGTACTTCTGTTTTGTCCATCACGAATCTACAACCCCACAGGTTCATTAAGTGCCTGAAAGTTCTAGTATTATGGGAGAGCACAAAAAATTTCTCTGTCCCACCACCCAAACAATTATACAACAGTCTCCTGTAAGACAAAGTGAACATTACAAAGCTGAACTTTTCATTTTGTTTTGTTACAGCATCAAAGAAGCTGTCGGAAACCTTTACCTGTCTGGAGTTCGCCTCTTCCCGTTTTCGTTCACATCGAGAAGCAGCTCTGAGGAGTCAACAGGTGAGGTGGTGCTGGCATCCAGAAGCAGCTGCTCATGTTGAGCGAGGTACTGGGCGGGGTTCTGCTTGGCCAGCCTTGCACAGTGCAGGAGCTCCCGCTGTAGCAGGGGCAGATTGGCCTGAAAGAGCAGACAAGCAACAGACATTCCCATTAGCAAGTATCCTTAGAGCATCCCAGGAAGAAAGCTGTCAAAACAAAAGGAGCCAAGCCCAGACACACATGGAGTAGATTAACATTTTTTTCCGCTTTCTTTAAACAGATGGTTCAGTGACAGTTATCCCCCCCCCTTTTTTTGTCCAAGCCTAACATTTGTAGCAGTATATATCTACCAGCAATTCTTGCATGGTACCAGGACTGGAACACTGGTTTAGTGCATCAAAAAAAAAAATTGATTCAGTAGCACCCCCGATCTCAAGACTGGGTCCCTCCCGTCCAGAAAGAGCAGTCCAAAACAAGGCAGCTGAAAATAGGGCTTCCTTAGCTAAACAAAACTACAATGTGCTTGGCAACACTCAACAACAACAATCTCCTCTGTGACCATCTGGCACCTCTCCAGCTGCTATGTACTGCCTCAGGCATAAATAGGTTAAAGCATTGGAAGGGGGAGTTTTAAAAAAAATTGCAGGATTCTCTGGGGATATGGAGATCTCTCCTTTGGCTAAAGCAGGAGGATGGAAGAAGAACACACACACTTTCCAGCATTTTCCTCTTCATCTGGAAAGACCAATAGTGATTTTGTCTCTTAAAGCCTGTTAAGAACAGACACACACAGGGCATATATTCTATTTCAATATAAAGCTAGACAATATAAACAAAAGCACCGATATCCCCATTATACATATTTCTGTCCAGGAGATGACCATCCACAAGTCAAATGAAACTTTAGCAATCCAGATTAACTGCAGTGCCTACCTTTCTCCCTCTTTATGGTCATTTTGGCAGTCATCCTGTGGTGTGACCTTGTTAGTCAGCATGCAAGTTTCTGACAGTCTGGCAAATGTGCAGTTGCAGCAAAGGACACCACAGTCTGGCGCCATTCAGGCTAACAAGTTGTGTAAGTGTCCCCTGTTTTGTGGCAACAACAGAGATCCCCATGTGTTGTGGGAAAGTGCCTACCTCCCCTCAGTGTGCTTATTAGTATCCAAGCATGCTTCCTTCATTAGGACAACAAACAAACTCAAATGCAATGTTTTCAGACTGTACAAGAGAACAATACTGCAATCCAATATATGCTTACACAAGAGTAAGCCCCACTGAATACAGTGGAACTTGCTTCTGAGTAAATATGCAAAAGACTGCACTGAAATTCCTGAATGACTCTTAGGAAAATGAAATCACATGTTGGACATCTTGCGCACAGATGTCTTTTGACAGAGGGCTTTCTGGCTCAAGGCCAGAAGTGAGCTTAATATGTGTCTTTAAAACAAAACAAAACAACCACCCCCTGATGAACAGAATATAAACACATTCTGCACAGGAGTGATGTTATCTATAGGTTTCTAACCTTTTATTAACATAGAATTAGTGGCCCCTATTCAGTGGAAATGACTAAAATTTGGTTTAAATTAGTATTTGCTGATAGAAATAACAACAACAACAAAGTACTGAAGATCACTGAAGATACCTATCGGGATTGGGGGGGGGCTCAGTAGGTAGCTCTACATGTTTCATCTTTCTCTTTGTTTTTGTTTTTTGTTATGTAGCAGAGTAAGTAATGAGAAACATGTACATGACCATTTACAAATGTAGATATGCAGATGACAAAATTCGTGAGTCTTTCACTTGGTACTCTGTTTAATTTAGCAATTCCATAAACATCTTCTGCCAATTTAAAAAAAATATGGTAATACAAAGCAATGTTGTTTGCCCTAATTCTGGTGCCAGATTAGGTAATTAGAATGGTGTCTAATATCCTTCCAGTAAATGTTTCTCCATAAATGCAAAATGGAATCGAGGGTCTGCGGGTTACATTAGCTTAATGAAAACAAGACTTTAATGCATATTGTTACAGCAGCATTTCAATGCACTTATTAAGGCCCATGTTCCCACAACCATATGGTTTTTGTCATTAATGTCTCCTTTGAGGAAAAGCACTAAAATTAGAAAAAAAGAGTTGCATCTTTGATTCCAGTGATCCCAACTAAATGATATGGCAACCATATGGTGTGAAGGTCTGATAGAAGGGTCTGGAAGTGCCCTTGTAGCTTTTTCTCTTTCTTCTTTTCTGTTTCTTTCTTAAAGCTGCCAACCTGGACCTGATGACATTCAGATTATAACATTCACAGCAAAAGGATCTCTCCCTCTTTAAAAAAATCCCCCCAAAACGAATGAAAGAAATACAGCCTAATCTAAAATGGGAGTTTCTTTTGAATGATTCCCCCCCCCCTTTTTAGTAAAGAACTATATAAAAATATTATGACTACATTACATAGCAGTGAGCAATCCGTATCTGTCCTAAGTATATTTCATCACTTGAGCAAAAATTAGTAATATAAATTTGGGTTTTTTTTCCTTCAATAATAGCTGAAGAATAAATTCCATGCCAGAAAAGCCATTTATTAATGATTAATTCTGAATGAAAGCTAAGACAGGACACATATTCCAAATGCGGCCTATTTATTTGCAGTTTTAAAATTAGGGTTGCCAGGTCTCCTTGCTGCTCTGGCAGGGGGATTTGGGTGGCGCTCCAGGGGTCAGCAGGGACATTGTGCCATGGCTCCGATGCGATGATGTCACCCAGAAATGATGTCATCATGTTGGGGATGTCATGCAGGGAACGCTCTGGTTTTGGGGCAAACTGTATGGTAAAATTGGGTTTAAATCATACTGCCTGACCCAAAAGCAGAACGTCCCACACAACATCCCCAGTGTGATGACGTCGTAACATTGAGGATTGGCCAGGTCCAGTCCAAGTGCACAGATTCTGTTCCCAGGGGCTGTCATTCCATTCTGGATCCTGTCATTCCAGTCCCAGAACACATCTCCTACCCTCAGTCCCAAAACACTTCTGCTACTCCCAGGGGCTGTCATTCCAGAGACCTTAATGGGAAATCCATTTCACATTTTCATTGCAACTCTTCTTGTGCTGTAATGTATTTCAGTGGAGCCCATGTAGGGTTGCCAAGTGTGAATTAAGCCGCAGCAGGGGACTCCTGGCTGGCGGCTGGAGTGCGCGCGCACTGCATCCATGTCACCCGGAAGTGATGCGGGCACGCATGACCATCCGAGGGAAAACCATAGTTTTCCCATAGATGACCGTGGCCCCGCCCCCAGCGTGCCTGTTGTGGTTGCGTCACTTCTGGGTGACGTGCACGTCGGGGTGGAGTTCCCCCCAGGGTCCGATCCACTGGCGGCGGGGAACGGGCCTCTGGGGCGGTCTTTCCCCGCCCCCCGGGGGGACTTGGCAAGCCTAAGCCCATGCAAGTCAATTGGTATTCCTGGCTCCCACTATCTTCAATGGGCCTTCAAGCCTCTCTGGTTGTTTCCACTGGGCAATCCTGTCATTCCTTTTAGTACATTCCTGTTGTGGTTGTTGTTGTTATTGTACTGTTGGGGTGGGTGTCTGTGGGGCAGGCTGGTGGTCTGCTGCTGGTAAGATCTGGTGGCTGCTGCCTGCCGTAGGCTAGGCCTCCTTCTCCAGGCCTTCTCCTGGACTAGTGTATTGCCTGGCCTTGTTCTTGTTTCTGGACTGGTTCTTGTTCCAGTTCTGTGTTGCTGGGCATCTCCAGCTGGAAAGCTAATGGCACTAAGCACTTTGGTTTCTGTATGAATGGGGTTGGATGGGGGGGGTGTATTTCCACTGAATCTCCCTTCCTTATGTTTTCAATGTGGCCTAGTGTGGTGGGACCTGGCCTGATTCTTATTTCAGTTCTGGGCATCTCCAACTAGATTTGGAAAGCTGATATGGCACTAAGCACCTTGACTTCTGTAAGAATGGGTGGAGTGTATTTCCACTGATTCCCCACTTCTGTATTCAATATACATTTTTAAAAACTGTATCACTCTGGCCATTTTAAGACACTTGTATTTATTATTAATTAATTATTTATTTATAAGTATGAGCATGGCGTGGCAACTCCACAAAGACATATAATGGCAGGCCCCACAAGCAAAACATTGGGCCCCCCCACCAAAAAGTTGTTAGCTATGGGGCTGGGGGGGGAGGCATTAAATAAAAATGAGTAATAACTTTTAAATGACTTATTTTGGTGTAAGAATGTGAGCTTCCGGCAATAGTTATCCTACAATACAATTTTTTTAAACATATAGAAACCTATAAACATATAAAAGCATACAGAAACTCCAGGATGGAGAAATTCCTGGAAATTTGGGGTTAGGACCTGGGAGAAGGAAGAATTTGTAGAGCAGAGGGACCTCTGTGTGGCATAATGCCATGAAGTCCACCCTCCAAAGCAGCCATTTACTCCAAGGGAACTGATGCCTGTAGTAGAGATCAGTTGTGATTCAAGGCTCCACCTGGAGGTTGGCAACCCTAACAGAAACTCATGGTAAAAGAAGAAAACATGCAGTGAAAGCCACCTTACTGCATTACATTTATACTTTAGTAGGGCTTGGTTGAGATCAATGTTCCCTCTAAGCTGCGGAGTCTTGTGAGCAAACATTCTACTTTGTGAGCGACTGGCATTAAAGCGGTGAGCCAGCGATTTGGCTACCGCATCTATTAGTTTGCTCTGGAGCCCTCCTTCCTGAGCTGGAGGCTAAAAAAATGTGAGCTAGCTCACAATAACTCAGCTTAGAGGGAACACTAGTTGAGATGTAACATCACATTATGGTTTGGTATGAGTTAGGCTTGCCAAGTCCCCCCGGGGGGCGGGGAAACCCCCGCCCCAGAGGCCCGTTCCCCGCTGCCGGCGGATCAGGCCCCGGGGGGAACCCAACCCCCAAAGTATGTGACGTGCACGTTACCTGGAAGTGACACGATCACGCCGGGCATGCTGGAGGCATGCTGGGGGCGGGCATGCTGGGGGCGGGGCCACGGTCATCCAAGGGAAAGCTCTATGGTTTTCCCTCAGATGGTCATGGCCCCTCCCCCAGTGTGCCCGGCGTTGTCGCGTCACTTCTGGGTGATGGGGTTCGGCGTGCACGCATGCTCCAGGAACAAGCCAGGAGCTCCAGCAGCAGGTAAGACTTGGCAACCCTAGTATGAGTTCTCAGCCACACAATTCCTCCTTATTGCCACTCTCTGCTCAAACACAATTTCTTATCCTTCTTTCCTCTTTCAAGTTGAACCAGAGTTTGATGTTACATACACACTGAAAACTGTGCTTTGCACATTCCCAGCAGGCCAGTGTTGCAAACCATAGTCAAACTAATCATGTTAATATTATAATCCAAATGTATTTGTGGTTAAATTTGCAGCTTTAAGAACAGAACTGAGAAAGCTGTAAGGTCACCTACAGTGTAATCCTGTATCAAGCTACTCCAGTCTAACACCACAAAAAGCAATGAGATTAGACTGGAGTAACTCTGAACTGAATTGTACTATAGCATCTTTTCCAACTGCTTAACACTATACATATAATTTAGTGAGCACTCCACAGCTCCCTGCATGTATTCGGAGGCATTCACTATTGTTATATCTTCTAGAGTTCATCCTTGGCACTAAAAAAGAAGTTCTAGGATTGAGCTGTGGTCTAAATTAAACCCTGGATTCAAAATTGGCCGTATAGCTTTCCCAGGAAAACATTACAATTCTTAACTGCATGAAAGACCTCATTTCAATTAGAAGACGAATGTGATCAATAAAATAGAAATAAGAAAAAACAAAGTAATATCAATTGCTAGTGGAATAAGTTCTTTTTAAAAAATCATCTGCCTAGGAGTGTTTGTTTCAGGAACAAATTATGCAGATCATTCGGAAGGGCCAATCTGTAGAAGGGAAACCAAGAATTAATGTGTTTCTTGAAGCCTTCAGGATAACCAGCAACAACTACTGCACATACACAGAAAAGTTCCAACACCTCCAACTGTTGGATACAGAAGGCTTCCCAGAACTCAGACTGAAGATCTCAGGGAAGAATCTATGTCAACAGGTGAGCAGGGAAGTGTGTTGCTATCAAGAAGCAATCAAAGATTTTTAAAAAGCTTTTAAAATGCTATCTTAATCCTACAAATTGACTTGCACTCCAAATTTTAATTTAAGAACACTTTAATCAAGAGCCATGTTTTCCAGGGCCGGATGAAAAGACAACTTCCTAAACCAGAGCTATTTTTCTAAGAAGTATTACTTGTAACCACTAACCAGTTACCTCTTATCTGGCCATATAAGCATTAAAGGTTTCAGCAATCTAAGGGCCTTGCTAATTGAAAAAGCTTTTCCTCCAGGAATAAATACTTATCATAAACACGTATTTTAGGATTGTGTTCTAATGTTGTTCACTGTTATTGAACCTCATGTACACTTCCACAGAAGTTAAACACTGTGCCTGAATTGATCCTTGAGTACCAAACTTTCTTAGACTTTGGTACGCCATTAATATATACATGTGCTCTAAATTAAATAAACTCCCTTTGAAATCAACAGTGAATCCCAAAGATTGTCTTCTACCTCTTCCAGCTCTGCTCCCATACCCACAAAGGAGGACATGATTCTGACTAATCCTACAGCAACTCAGGGTATAAAGGGCCCCAGCTAAGGAACAGAAATCTTATGTATAGAACATAAGAACATAAGAGATGCCAATGTTGGATCAGGCCAAAGGCCCATCCAGTCCAACACTCTGTATCCCACAGTGGCCAGAAATACCAGTGCCATCAGGAGGTCCACCAGTGGGGCCAGGACATTAGAAGCCCTCCCACTGTTGACCCCCCCCCCAAAGCACCAAGATGACAGAGCATCACTTGCCCCAGAGTCCCTATCTATACCTTGTGCATTGCCTGGGGCTACATCATTCAGTCCTAGAGACCTAAAAATCTATTGGCACAAAAGCAGGACATTCAGTTATAAGACCTCAAGCAAAAGAGTGTTTACAGAAAAATTGAAGACTTTGCATAAAAGTAGGAAGGTTATAGTGCTACTCTTTTTAACAGACGGTTCGTATAGGGGTTCTGCTGGTCATGAATTTCCACTGGCACTGGAAGAAGCAATGGGAGTATAACTATTTTTGCGGGAGAATATCAGTCATTTGATACCAGCTATAGGTACTGCAGCCTAAACTCCACTGAATCCTTTTATGTTGTAGAATCAGAGTCTGGGCCAGAAGGAAGCTACATAGTAGCAAGTGACAAAATAATCCAGTACAACTCCCACTATTCATGCCTCTGACTGTCTTAATACTATCATAATACTTAATACCTCTTAATACTACCATGACTTCCATCAACAGATGAGTCTCTATGCCCTACTGTTGGACCTCCAGATGAACTGTTTGGCCACAGTGTGAGACAAGATTCTGGACTAGATGGACCACTGGCCTGATCCAGCAGGACTCATTTTATGTTCTTCATCCCCAGATGTAGACATCATCAGCACTACTGATGGGTGATAGGAGGTGAGGCAAGAGACTGGAAGTACCCTAAATGGCATCATCTTTTCAATCACTCACCTAATTGCAGCTACTCCATTACTAGTCATTGTTACTGACTTCACCTGGCTTTCTATAGGCAACCAGGCACAGAGAAAAGAACACTGTGGCTCACTGGCAGAGCATCTGCTTGGCATGCAGAAGGTCCTAGGTTCAATCCCTGGCATCTCCAGTTAAAAGGATTAGGTAGGAGATTATGTGAAAGACGTCAGCCCGAGACCCTGGAGAGCTGCTGCCAGTTTGAGTAGACAGTACTGACTTTGATGGACCAAGGGTCTGATTCAGTATAAGGCAGCTTCCTGTGTTCATGTGCACCCCCAGCGAAACACAGATAATAAGCAACGCCTACAGCAAAACCAGCATGAGCAGTAACCTTCTGGGGATTGCCACCTATTTGTCCTCCTGTGCCTTTCAAGTGTACATGATGGATTGTAATGCAACAGGTACCTAGCAAAGAGATGTAGTGCTAGAGAGAGCTCACCAGTCACTCCTTTACCTGTCATGCTTTCAGAGCCTTAGAGGTAATGCTTGAACAGTTGCTAGAACTTTTGGGAGGTGAAGGACAATCTGATTTGCTTTGAGAATTATTAAGTTTGCTTAAGAAGAAAAGGAGGGGACATATAATGATAAATAAATGAATATGTGTTACCTATAGACATAAGGATAAGAGATTAGAAACAGGTATGTTTTTTCAAGATTTGAGCTGGAGGTGGAAACGCTGTTGGAAGCCTACAAAAGGGGGGAGTTAGAAGAAAAGGATATATATGTTGAAGTTAATATATATGAAATGTGTATTATCCTAATAAAAGTTGTTTTTTTTAAAAAAAAACAGTTGCTAGAACTTTGTCAACCAATGATATTATCCAGTAAAAACTGTTCTACAGCTGTAGTCTTCTGTGATGATACAAGATGACTTATCTTATCTGTTTTCAAGACACAACAATACACACTGGAAGCCAAGATTTCCCAGATGCCCACGCCCAGCAGGGAATGCCCCAGCTCTAATATCCTGTCCTCAAGAAATTGAGAAATGGGAGATAAATGGGCTCCATAACAACACCGTAGGAGTATCTTCTAGTCTCTATGGTCTTTACCATAGAGATTAGGGGATATTCCTAGAATGCCACCCACAAGTCACATCACATCCTCACCAAACTCCACCCTCCCCAGGCACAACCCTCAAAATCTCCTGGCATTTGCTAGGCAGTGTTGGGAACCCTACTTGAGTCCTTCCCAGGCAGAACCATGCAACTGCAGGAAGTGTAACAAAGTGAGCCCTAATTGATCTTTACTGTCCTGAGTCTCTCTGTTAATTGATGGTAAACCCAACAATTGAGGTGAGGAGAATTAGCATGTCTGCTGCGGAAACACTGCAGATATGGCTGAATGGAATGAAGGATGCTGGGTAAAACGATCAGTATCCAATTACCAGGCAATTAGATGAATAAGGCTAATGTTTCATGAACCACTCCTACAGGCTGGCTAAACTGTCCTGTCTCAGGCATGGATGGGGGTGGGTGGGTGGCAGGAAAATCCTCTAATCTACTGAAAGACCAGAGGCAAGACCTGATCTTTGCACCTCATATGTGATAAAACTGTGCTGTTCCACTGCACTGTGTTAAGTATGGCAATGGTTTTAGATATCAATACCACATAGCCTACTACTGCACTGAACAAAGTCTGAAGCCTTTCTCCAAATTAAGTGCCTCTTCCTCCAATGGCAGAGTTGGAGGATGGCTCCGTTGGATGTATTAACAACCCGTAGGATAGAGAAAATTCCCAGTGTTTTGAGGGGGCCTTGACTATATCCTCTATTTAGTCCCAAGTCTGAGAACCTCAGTCAAGAACCATTTTTCCTGGACAAGTGGCCTGGCACCTAACTCTCCATCATCTAAAATGGTGCAGAGTGCTCAAAGTTGTTAACTCCTATGTTAGCGACTGATGAATTTAAACAGAACCAATGGTATATAAAGCATTGCACATAAGGTTAGAAAACTGACAGGTTCCATGCCTAGTAGTAGAGAAAAAGTTAGTCCAACAAAGCCTCAGCCACTTAAGCTAAGAAAGGAAGCCTTTAAATGCTAGATTCATTCTACTCAGGTCTCTTAAAAGGGGGAGGGGGGAACCTGTAATACACATCTGTGACCTAGCAACAGTATAGTTTAAAATAGTTTCCAGATCAGTGATCAGTACAATACCTTCAAAAATGGGATGACAAAAGGTCGCAGTGGGAAGTTAGTAGCTTCTTGCAGTTTGGAATGAAATTCTTCAATTGTCAAAGTAGAATTCTGTCGAATGAAAAGAAAAAATCTGTAAAATGAATAACAGAAATGTTTTGCAAGAGAAATGAGACCTAAAAATATTTATACAGAAAAATGCCCTTAATTGCAGTGCCAAATACATTAAATGTGCACTGTATAGGAAACGCTGGCACTAATAGCGATACTATGTCCTTGTAAGCATCCTTTACCACTAGGCTCCTTTTCTCATGCTAGATAACATTAACACCTTACTAGTGCTGGCAAAACTATAATGGTTTACTCTAAGACAATGCATGTCTGGCAGTCTTGAGTCTGTGCCTTTGATTACAAGAAAGGAATCTTGGGGGAGGACACACACGACAAAACGATCTGGAATTCTGCATGCTCACACTACTCCTGTGCCGTGTACAAGCTTGGGATGAGAGGACTGTTCCCATCCCACTCTTTTGTTCTTCCATGTTGTTGTTCTGCATCCATTCCAATCCCTTCAAATTCTGGTTTAACCAGGAGAAACTTCTAAAAATTAATTCAGATATTAAAGTATGTACAGTTTGCCAGAGCCTCCCTGATCTTTCCCTTCATTTGTGTTACTAATATGCATGTGTGCAATAGTAAAGCACAGTAACCTTGGTGTGTCTGTGTGACTGCATCAAGATCTTTTTTGTGCAAAGAACTAGTTAGAATTTTGGACTAGAACATGGAAGACCTGAAATCAAATTACAACTCAGTTGAAAAGCTCAGTAGGCCAGTCTAACACTCTCAAGTTGCTATTTTTCAATCTAGCCTACCCTCAGCAGGGCAACACAACTGTGAGCTCTCAGCCAAAAATCTGAGACACAAATGACATAAATGCACTGTAGCTAGTTATAAGCAGCGCCCAAATATGAAATATGACATTTCAAGAAAAGGTCAAACCAAGCCAGCAAAGAACCACAGCTATCAATTCACTTTTCTTCACTTACCACAAGTCCTAGTACAAGGGTACGCACCCTCTCCCCAATTTCTGGTGAAATGTCATTGCCAAACTGCTGCAAAGTTGTAAGAAATCTCTTCAGTTTGCTCAGCTGCCGAGCTCCACAAGCTGGTGGTAACTGCTGATTGGCCAAAGAGGATGAGGACGATGAGGAGGGCCCGTTACTAAAGCCATTAGGTGGTGAGGGAGCCCCATTCAGTGCCGTTGGTGAATGGCTTGTGCCATTGGTTACTGAATAGGGGGAAACAATACAGAGCAAGTTAAATAAGCTTACATTTATGGAATAAGTTTAATCTTGTATCAGAAGAGTTTTAGAGATAGCATCACGACTTGTTTAAAAAAATTAGTACCTTTTCATCTTCTTGTTTTGAATAAATATGTTCTCTTGTGATTGATTTATAATATGGACAGGAAAGAAATTTTACTCATTCCCTCAAATTCTGTTAGGGGTAATGGACAACTTCCCCTCTAACTTTCTGCATAAGCTTCCATTACTTAAAATGAAACAATAGTGCTTTCTTTCTCCAAACTTTGGACAATTCTCCTTTGATATCAAGCTCTAGTAGGCAAAAACTAACTTATGTCAGTAACACCCAAACCAACAAATTCCCAAGTAAGGCCAGCAAAGATTTGTAGGCAAACAGGCAGTTCCTGAGTAGGGAACCTCACTCATGTTTCTATACAACTCTTTGCAAAGGATAGAGTGCAAAAGCACTAGTTGAAAGCAACAGTGCCAAAAATCATCTGAACAAGTGCATGGATATGCCTTTTCACACTATACTCCAACAACAGGGAATGAAACAAACCTGCTAACGATAGGGCAACCATGTTCCACCTGCTAGGACAATAAATGGGACTACATAATAGAATCCCGGTCACTCTAGAGCAGAGGTGTCAAACTCATTTGTTACGAGGGCTGAATCTGACATAAATGCCACTTTGTTGCGCCAGGCCATGTGTGCCTTAAAACATATTGCCAGGTACTGGAGATAGAAACTGTATAAAGTACAGCAGCCGGTAGGCTCCGAGTTGGAGTATCCTCACGGCAAGGCCCCATGGTCTGGGGTGGGGGGGGTGCAGAGGAAAACCCACATAGGCAGACTGCAGAGCCAGCAGTGCAGCAATGGGCAGATGTTCCCATGATGCTTAACTGTGCAGACAAGGTTGTTCTGCTATGCTGAAGCCACAATGGAATGGCTTTGCCCACTCCCCCCCAGAACTCCCACCCTTGCACCAGTTGCTCATGGGCCACATAAGAGCTCTGGATGGGCTGGATCCGCCCCCCGGGCCTTACGTTTGACACCCCTGCTCTAGAGGCTGGAGTCCCCAACATGGTACCCATCAACTCCTTTCTTGGTGCTTGCCAAGTATTTTTTGAAAGTGGTCAGAACCAAGTGGGGCTTTTGCCCATTAGGGCTTCTGATTGGCTGTGAAGATTAAAGGCTAAACAGAGTTTCTGCCTGAAATGTTGAAGTTGCTATGAGACTTACACATAGCTTCACTTCCTGATATTTTGTGGTTGGCTCTGCCTGCTGTAGCTAGGGTTGCCAGGTCCTTTTCAGCCACTGGTAGGGGGATGGGGGTGATGTTCCAGGAGTGGGAAGTGATATCGCCCCCCGTTCCCCCCGAAACAGTGACATTGCAAGCAAAGTGCCTGCATCACCTGGAAGTGATGTCAGCATGTTGGCAACATTTGGAGTGATACTCTGGATTTTGGGCAAAACTCTATGGTAAAATTGGCATCAATCGGATAGAGTTTTGCCCAAAAGCCAGAGCGTCACCCCCCGACGTGCCAACATCATTTCCAGGTGATGCAGGCAACACTGCTGTTTGGTGGGAGCCCACAAAATCAAGGGCTCCCCCACCTCCAATGGGCAAATGGCAACCCTAGCTGTGGCAGCCATTTTGTGGTTGACACTGCCTCCTGCAGCAGCCACTTTGTGGTTGCACCAACCACCCTGTCCCAGAATTCCGAAGGTCTAAGGCTATATAAACTGGATTTATTAGGGAAACTGAACTTTTTTGTAGTATAAATGCTTTCTTCAATCTTTACCACAAACTAAAGATCTGTTCTCAAGATGCCAATGTGTAATGACCATGAAAAAATCCTTTGACTCCACATCCACTGTACTCCAAGGTGACATAAGTACTCAGACATAAGACCTACCATGTGAGCAGACCACACAATGCAAGAGAATTCGAAGCAGTAGAAGGTAACTGGTTAGCTAAACTGGTTATCTAGAGAGTTCAACATTTTCTGCATTAGTTACAATACAGCAGTTTAGGCAGTTGTTAGCCATAGCTGGAGCTCAACCAGTTGGTTTTATTTTTGTGGATACTGAGTCTGGAACTAGAGTATTTTTACTATTTTGACTGGATTTCTATTGGATTGTAGACCACCCTGAGACCCACTTAGGAGAAAGCATAGCACATACATTTTTAAATAAACAACTAAAACTCTCTTCTTTGCAGTTTTAAAAATCATACACAATTGTTATTCAGCCTCTACCCCCAAAGTTTGGTGAATGGAGACAGACCCAGAAGGCAAAGGTGAGGATTCAACAGTGCAGTTTTGATTACCCACATGCTGGATTTCAAACAAGCAAAGAAGAAAAATGATATATGGGTGGATAAGGCTGATCTAATTATTTTTAAGCAGCAACCTTCTCCTCCCCCTCATAAGAGATACGTATCAGGTAGCTATCCAAAAACAACAATAATGAAGGCTCTGCTACTGTAAAGTTTGGCCTGATTGAAGTTTTCACAGTTTCCCCAATAACCGAAGGATTAAACTTTGAGGCAACAGAGCAAGAGGAAGATAACCACCATAGTTCCTTTAAAGTGCACAGAATCTATCAGAGTAACCCAATTTCTGAGCTTAATACCATTAATATATCACATTTATGACTGATCCTTTCTCACCTTGGTTTCATTCAAATGCCTTAGCACATAATAATCAATCAGATTTCCTTTGTCACCCTTTTCTGCTGTTTACCTATAGCAAGCATTTAACCTTTATATGCAGAAGAATTTACAGAGCAAAAGTATAATTACACGTTGTGGGTGTGAAAGAACTGGTTCTTGGGGCTCCTTGGGTAGTGGGAGGAGGTGGCATTGTTGGAGGCGTCAGCCTGGATTGTGTCTTCACATCCACAGGTGAGTCTGGCATTGTGGAATGCTTCTCGATGCGATCTGAAACACACATGGGCATTTTTATTCTATTTTTCCTTTATATACAAACAAATCCTTTAAAATAAGAACAAGAAACAGAATTTTTTAAAAAGCTGAACGCCTTTAGGACTGAGTAGCCTCCCCCCCAAATAGCTTTTGACATATCAAACACAGATGAGAGAGCCTCATGTATAACTGTGCTGTATTTCTGATCTCTGTTCCAGAAGAATTCAGATGCAATGTTCCAGAGAGTACTGGAGTTAAAATAATAAACCTTTATTTGCAATCCAAATAATCCCAACAAACAGGGTCCAACAACGAAGAAGCAGCATGGCAATAAAATGTCATGATGGTGCCACCAGAATTAAAACTCGATTATGTGCAGATGAATATTGGTCATACAGCTGGCATTGGTTATGTAGTAGTCTTCACCTGCTGCTTATCTTTTATTTTCTAAGGCTAAACTCCTCACCTGCTTCAGAGAACTCAGCCTCACTTTCAGATAAGAAGGCTGCCCTACAGTTCAGTCCTATTACTTGGTTCAAACAAAACTAGTGGTTGCCTCCAAGTAAATGGGTTTAGAACTGAAGAGTAAAGCGGTTTGATACTAGTTTAAATACTCCTGGTCATGTTTGACATTTTATCTTCTGGTTTCACATAAAAAGTCAATTTATATATCCCATAAATAGTAACAGGATTTTTTTTTAAGTACATGGTTTCACAGCATGGGACATAGAGCAGGGTTTGGAAGCATCTTCCAGCTTTTGTGACATCATCCACTAGATTAACTTCTCCTGAAGTGTGATGGGGATACCAGTGATCATGACTTTCCATCCTGTATATTGGTGCACCTGCCCTGATAAACATTAATGTAAGAGCACAGTGTTTTCACAGGGAATACACAAATATATATATGTAAATATAGCTGAATGGCATAGTTTTTATCTTACTTACTACCTGGGGATTAAACTACATGATTTGAACACAAGTGTGTTAGATTTTATATATCCCAGAGGTGTTATAGGTGATAAAGGCATGATCTTATTCCATCATTAGGTACAGTAAGTATATTGGGAAGAAGATAATGTGATTGAGACCTGTATTAGATTTTTACATTATATCACATTGTAATTTCATGAGTGTGTGGGGGGGACAGTCTTACAAGATAAGAGATAAATATTCTTCTAGGTTATCTACATAGTTATCAACTCAAAATCAAAGTTTAATGGTCTATTCATATGAACAGTTTGATGGAACTTTCTGTGAGAATGATAAGGCAAGTATATTTGGGCTTAATAAAAAGCGACTGACTGTTTATATGGCAATGTGATACTGTGACTTTTCTACAGTAATGCTGCTTTATTGTTCCACATTTTCCCCATTTACACCTCAATAAACATTTGTACTTACAATTCCTTAGCCACACTACCCTCTTGGCAGTATGCTACACTATTAAAGTGATATAAAATTTTATAACAATAAATAGAAAACCTAAATAAATTGGCCCCAAACGGAATGCTTAAAATCCAGCCAATTTGGTTTGAGTTGCCATATGATTTATTTCATGGTTCAAGGGAGGGGAGAAATTGGAAAATCATAAGATAAGCACTTTGAACTTTCTGTAAAAAGCAAGGCTGAGAGCCAGCACATATATGGATGAGAAACAAATTTAAGGAAAGCTTTTGGGCACAATCCATGGAGAAGAGTTCCTGTGTGAGCCTCGGTGAAATAAGGAGACAAACAGAAAACTAAGAATGTCATAAAACTACAAAGTGAATTCCATTCCCTTCCAATTTCAATTTAAAAGGTTCTACAATCAAACTAATAAAAAGATTTTAGGAAGGAAGGAGACCTAGAATGAAAATAAGATGAGAATCCTGATTTTAGTATCATTTCAACAAAATAAGTTTTCATAAACTTCAGTACTTGCAGTCTCCGGGGGCGGGGGGGGGAGCATTAAGGAATCTAGAAATATAGGATACAATGAGTGGTGTAAACTGAACAAACAAAGCAGTGTCTATGAAGCAATTTGCTGGACTTAGCTGTGATCAAGTATTTAACAAGCAGGGATGACAAACTCAAAAGAGGAGGAGGAAGGGGAAGGAAACGAGTCTCAAAATGTTAATTGTTTCTTGCACTCACCTCTACCAGCCTCAGCAACAAGGCAATAAACAGCTTTCAGTTTTAACTTGCGCCACAGGAAGAGAGACATGGAAAAGGAATACTGGCTCTCCTAAATAAAGGCAAATATTTCTGCCATACCAAGAAAGGAGAGAGAAAGAGAGGTTTGCCAGAGCTGGCCAGGAGATAACATTGGCAACTGCTGGCCCATCTGGTTTTCATTCTGCTAACACTCACACTGAAGTGTTGGGGAATGTATTCCAGGTATACAAATCTGAAGCAGCATAGTGTAAGCATAGTCGTGAGCAGCAAGGGAGTAGTGTATGGTGGAGGGAGAAAGTCATATTCCACTAACACCGTCTGCTACTCATGAAATAATAGGCACAGCCCATATCCTCCAACAGCTCTTTATCGCTTAAAAAGCAATTCTGTTCCATGCACGCAATCACAGCTTTATGTGTCTATCTCTTTGGAGTTTGCTGTCGAATGGGTTGACATCAGGACACAGAAAAGAAACAGAATCAAGGAAGATGGACTTTGGAAAAGGCCAAGACCCCAAATAGTTCACATTGTGTTACATAAACAGATGCATTATTTGTCTGACGTTTTTTACTGAGTTAACTGCCTAACTTTTTCATATTCCAAGACTCTCTTAAGTTATTCTGAAGCATAAATGATCATGCATCAGCAATCAATAAAGTTTCATAAATTTGAAGCATGAATAATATAATGTGTTGCTACTGATCATTCTCAATTCTCTGCCTGTTGGGAATTCTAACTCTAAGTGCTATATCAGCTGCTCTGCTTTAATCAGAACAGACTGGAACCTACCTTACTGCAGGTCTGATCCTGCGCTGCCAAGTCAGTTTTTGTGCACTATTGCCACTGTCAAGAAACCAAACCACAGAGGCTTGGGAAACTTAGTGGAGACCATTTTACATTTTTTAACAAGGGCTAATATGGTATATTAGGGTTGCCAAGTCCCCCCGGGGGGCAGATTTTCCCCACGCTTTGGAGGCCCGATTTCCACCCCCGCGGAATCGGGCCCCGGGGGAAACCCCACCCCCGCGCGTACGCCGCCCGGATGTGACGTCATGTTTTCCCCTCGAATGGCTGTGGCCCCGCCCCCAGCGTGCCCGGCGTCATGACGTCACATCCGGGTGGCGCGCGCGCACTCAAGACGCCGGGCAGGAGCCCCCCGCCGCCAGGTAAAAAAGATTTGGCAACCCTATGGTATATATACATAAAGTTCTGAACTTCCCCCTGCTCAGTCTGGCAACTTCAAGCTAGTGCTGTGAGCAGCAAGGCTAAAATTATGCCCTACAATCAGCGTTCCAAGCAGAAAAGGCTGTGGTTGATCATGGTCAACATTCTCTCTGTCCACCATAAAGAAGTCTTTAGAGAAGCTGAGGGGTATAGAGGGTGTGTTGCTTGCTTCCTTAGAAACCATAAACTTCACCTTTTGCTTGTTATTCTGTTTACCTTGTTTGTTGTCAAAACCCAGGGCCTTTTTTTGTAGCAGGAACTCCTTTGCATGTTTGGCCACACACCCCTAATGTAGCCAATCCTAATGAGTTTCTGCTGTTGGGTGTGGCCTATTATGCTAATGAGTTCCTGCTGGGCGTGGCCAACTTGGAAGCCAGCCGGAACTCCGTTCCTGTGTGGTCCTGCCCCAAAATAGCCCTGAACATAACTCCTAGATTCTGTGGAGCAGTGTCTGCTTTCTGACACACATTACAAACTGAGGCACAATAGTCTGGAAAACTCCATGTCTATCAGAACTTTCCTTCATCATCAACAACTTAATTATATAATTAGGATTTGCCAGACCGTGAAAGCAAGTGCATATTAAAGGGTCAAATTAAAATGCCTCTCTTTACCTACTGGCCCTTGTGAATCAAAGGTCTTCTGCCTTGGGGGCCAATGAAATTCCCGATCTAGGTAGAGGGCTCTAGCAAATCATAACCAGGTTAGCCATCATTTGTGTGTTTAAGAGTTCAGTCGTAACATATTGCCTTTTTATGTAAGTTATTTCAGCTTCACAATCTTTAAAGAATTGTATGCTCTGTTTTTAAAAAATGAGAATATCCAACTTTCTTCAAACTGGGCTTAAGCCCAATAGCTTCTCAAATTCAAGGAAGATCTGGCTGGAACTCATTCTTCTCTGTTCTCTGCAATAAATTCATGATGAGGGTAGATGGTAAAATAACAGTCCAAACCCAACCTATGTGCAAACATCTCTCTGGTAACAGGAGAGTCTTAAGATAAATTCATAAAGCATGTTTCAAGCATGCAACCATCTCCTCCATTTGTTCTGAGTTATAGTTTAAAAATGAAATATACATTCCCGAATTTCTTTTAGCAGCAAAGAGCTAGAAGCTGTGATTTAATCACAGAAGCATTTTGCCCCACTCTAAATTAAAGAATGCTGTAAAACCAACTCTAAATTATGACGTTTCTTCTGAGGATTGTTTTGGTTTCTGACACTGAACTGTTCTTTGTCATACATTCGGTTCTTATTATGGGAATTATTTTTAACTCTGTATTTAACTTTTAGGTGAACTGTGATATGTATTGCAAGTGTTTCCAACATTATAAAAAATAAATATAGAGACAGAAGAAGACCACTAAGAAAAACATGTGCACAAGCAGAGTAAGGAAAAAAGAAATATCTCTATAGTCAGGAGCATTTACTTCACTTCCTGTATCTTAATGGTTTAATCCATTTTTAAAACAATTTGGCCTTTCATATATGGTAAAATTTCAGCTTACATGGAAAACATCCAATGTGTGTGCATCAAGGAAAGCTGATGTATGGAACAAACTATGGAATATGTAAATACGCAACTGATGCTTCCCTCAATAGCCAATTCAATGTCTGGCAGTTCTGCCAGTGGTAT